AAAGAGAAAATGGTCCAGCAGGAACATTGATGTGAGTCGAACCCTGACGAGTTTGAGAAGCATCTTGATCAGTCCCTTGGTTTCGAAGATGATATCGCCAGTAAAGAAGGGGGAGAGTCGCTAAGCATCCAGATGCATAACCGATAATCCACACGAACAATGGTGTGCGTGGGTGCTCATCCTTCGATATGGACAGAACGACGATCGATGCAATGATCTGACTCAATGTGAGAGCCAATTCAACTGATATCCATAGACCCGAATTCAGTGGACTCCTGCGTCTACCACGAGCATCCCCTCTCCTAGTACTCCGGGCACTTGATACATTTGACGACGATGTTGAAGGCTGAGAAACCGAGGGTGCTGAACTAGTTGAAGGTCTGGCATCTGTTGAAAAGGTTTCCAGAGAATGTCCACCATGGGATGTAGATTCGGAAGAAGAATCGGCATTTTCAGGCACATCGATGATGTGATCTGTACTCCTAAAAGTCGCTGATCGCTCCATTAACAGTGGGCAACTATCTGCGAGATTATCAGAACGTAGTTCCGGGGAGAGAACATCCATCTAACTCCACAGACCCCCTTAGATATGATGAAACCATAGATTGAATCTCCAAGCTAGGTTTCCACCAAACCGAAAGCTACTGAACACTCAATGCAAGAACTACCCAGGAACTCGGACAGTATGGGTGATTCACCCTAATCAATTCTGTTCGACAAAACACAAAGCAGCGCACTTACCATCAGAATTGCCATGAAATCAGTAAAAGCCCAGCACAGGGAAGTACTAAAAATGGTCAGATACGATAAAAACAGCTTTCATCGATTCATTCGATAACAAACAAAATTTGGCATATCAAAAGCTCTGGATTTGACGGAGATGACTATGAATGCAATCCCAAAATCTAATTGACAACAAGAAATGAGTCCCCAGTTCTTCAAATCTCTCCTTCCACGCGGTATCAATGCCAACTTGCAGGCCATTCAACCAAAGAGGGAATGCAATCCCAAATGGAATATACAAAAGAAAGAAAGATTTCCACCACATTTTCAAAATACTATAGAATATACAGCAAAAAATAATGGTTTCAGCTAACAACTCTGGGAAGATGACAAAAATGAGCTGGGAGATTTGCTCTACCGAAAAATAGAAAGGAAGCAGAAACCTTTAAGAAAAAAAAAACAGTGAAGCTTTGACTCCTTCGACTTGATTCATTCTTAGATCAAGCAAACAAATTGAAGTGAACCCACAAAATTTCAAAGGGTAAGCGATAATGGGCAAGTGATCAACCATTTCCCGAGAGCTCGAAACTCGAATCGAATTGGAAGAGAGAAGCAGAACGATCGTCACCTGTTTGAGCTGAGGACTTGGGTCGAGAGATAAGTAAAGGGAGGCAGAGCAGAACCAGCGCCGGCTTCTCGCCAAGAAATGAACGAAGAAGAAGCAAAATGAAGGAGGAGATGGGAGGAGGAAGGGGCGCGTTTCGTCGCTTTTCTTTAAAGTTGGTTGGGGAGGGATAAAGAGTCAGCTTTCGACTTCCATTGCTTCTCTGCTGGTCTGGGAATATCTATCTCTATTCTCTAATACCTCTCTTGGTTTAGATTTTTCCAAAATAACCATTTCTCCCTCTAATTTGTTTCCCGTTAGCGACGTATCTAAATAGGAATTCTTTTTCTTTTTGAAAAAGCATTTATAATAATAATATGTCCGAGATAAATAATACTTATACTATTCTTTAAAGTATTGGTGTTTCGAGGTGCATTTTAAAGTTGTATAACATTAAATATACAAGTTCAGGTTGTACTATAAGCGAATTTGTATATTTATTGTTGTATCATAATATAAAAAGTACAAATTCAGGTTGTACCACAAAAAAATTTATACAAAATACTATATAATATAGATATAACTTGGAGTTGTACCATACTGTTAAAGATACAACTTTAAATTGTACCATAAAGACAAAAAACTAAAACATCAATACTTTAAAACACGGTAAAATTTCTCCCAGTTAAACATTATCTTAATATCTATACCAGTATTACATTGCATGCAAATTAAATAAAGCCATTCCATTTGAGTGAAAGCTGGAACCATTCTTGTGAAAACAAAAACTATATGGCAATTTAGTTTTAACATTGATGAATCTCAAATGGTTCAATTGAGGGTTTTTTTCATAATATGGTAAGGCATCGTGAATGAATTGCCAATAGCTAACATAATCATATAATTCGAGTTGTTAGAAAATATTAAAAACAAATCTTATATCATTATTTAATATATTTCTAAAATAAATTAAACACTTGCGCTTGAAATGTGTACAAAACTACTATACATTATACTTAAATCAAATATTATTGTTGGAAATCATGACACAAGACTCTCAATTAAAAATATTGATATGATGTCAATATATGATATAATATTTTCTTAAATCAAAACGCTAATATAATAAAGCATGACAAAATTCATTTGACGAACTCGTTTGACCCAGACAATATAAGCAATATTATCGTGAATTTTGTGTCCAAATCCAACAATCAACCGGGAACATCAATAATGAAAAAACATAAAGAAAATCGCCACCATGCTGTAATCCCATTTTCCGAGGAAATACCGTAATTTTCTCAGGGTTCGAGAAAATCGCCACCATACTGTAATTTTCTTGAAGAGAGCTCGAGTTTTCCTTTCAATGACTGTTCAAAAACATAAAGAAATTCAAAAGGATTTTCCGAATTTCACTTTCTAAGAGATCCACCATTAACATCAAATCAAAACCAAACCATTATCGCGCGACATTCTTCCTTCTCTTGCTTCCTTGCTTCATCAATCTCCTCCCAACTAAACCTTCTTGGATTCTCTCTCTCCGTCTGCGCTTCTCTCTCTCTCTCTAAAGATTGGATCTTTCGGCGTCAGATTCACTTCCTCTTCTTTCTTTCTTTCCCTTTTCCCCCCTCCACCAAAAATCATTACCCAGAATCTCTCCTCAGTTATCTCGCATTCCCTTTGTCGGAAATCAGGCATCTATTCTGGGTTAGTTTCTGGACATTACAGTGGTCCGATTTCTTTTGCAGATTTGATCTGGGTTAGTCTCCGGCGAAAATGCCGTTCCAGATTCTGACTTCTAACCTCCCTACAGCCTTCCGAGGAGCAGTGGATCTGCTCACATTCTCGAGAATCTAGGGTTTCGAAAGAGAGAGGGGGTCGCTGGTTTTGGGAACACACACCCTTAAATCCGCAATGTTCAAGCAAATCTTGAGTAAGCTCCCGAGGAAATCCTCCAAATCGGAGCCACCCGAGTTTAGCTCCATCGAATCGCCGTCTCCGGTTCGATCCAACAGCGTCGGCTCGGCGAAATCGAATGGGCCGAAGCGGACTTCATCAGCAGTGTTCCCGTCCAGTGTCGTCGCCGGGATTGAGCCGCTGGTGCCATTCAGAGACGTACACAATGCGGAGAAAATGAACCTCTTCGTAAGCAAAGTAAGCCTCTGCTGTGTAACTTTTGATTTCTCTGACCCAACTAAGGATACCCTAGAGAAGGATGTAAAGAGGCAGACTTTGCTCGAGCTTGTAGATTTTGTGGCTTCTGGGTCGATGAGGTTCACCGAGCCAGCCATTCTAGCTATGTGTAGAATGTGTGCTGTTAACTTGTTCAGGGTTTTCCCTCCGAGTTACAGGTCTCACTCTGGCAATGGTGGTGGTGAAAATGATGATAGTGATGAGCCAATGTTTGATCCCGCTTGGCCACACTTGCACATTGTCTATGATTTGCTGCTTAGGTTCATAACTTCCACTTGCCTGGATGCTAAAATAGCCAAGAAGTACATAGACCACTCGTTCATACTGAGGTTACTTGATTTGTTCGAGTCCGAGGATCCCAGGGAAAGGGAGTGTCTAAAGACCATATTACACAGGGTGTATGGGAAGTTCATGGTGCATAGGCCTTTCGTTCGCAAGTCGATCAGCAATATATTCTATAGGTTTGTGTTAGAGACCGAGAAGCATAATGGGATTGCTGAGCTGCTGGAGATTTTCGGGAGTGTAATAAGTGGTTTTGCTTTGCCCCTTAAAGAGGAGCACAAGCTGTTCCTGTGGAGGGTTTTGATTCCTTTGCATAAGCCAAAGTCTCTTGGGGTTTACTTTCAGCAGCTCTCTTATTGCATAACGCAGTTTATTGAGAAGGATCCCAAGTTGGCTAGCATGGTGATGAACAGAGTGTTGAAGTACTGGCCTGTAACGAACAGCCAGAAGGAGGTGATGTTCTTGGGAGAGGTGGAAGAGATTTTGGAAGCTATTAACATGGTTGAATTCCAGAAAGTTATGGTTCCCCTGTTCTGGAGGATTGGTTGCTGCATGAACAGCTTTCACTTCCAGGTATGTTCATGTTTATTTTCTTTGTTGCATGTGTCCTTTTTTGTTTGCTCAATCAATGTGCTTTATTCCTATGTTTCCATCCTTCCATGCATTGATCTATACCGAGTTTATCATTGTCAATATTGCTAGTTGTCAATGTCTGCTTATGGTTGAAGTTATTGCCTGCGCTTGACGATCATAACTCTATGTAATTGTTTGAGCAACACCAAAGCTTTGGTAGATGGATTCTGAAAATTAGGAGATTGTTAAGAACATATTGATTTCAAAATATAACCTGTCTTTTACATTGTCAGACCCATATATGCATCCATTTGAAGTTCTGTTTATGCCTTTATCCTGAAGGTCTAAATGTGAGATTCGATAAAATCCACTTGCTCCATCAGCCATCAGCAAGTGGATTTACCATATTCCATCAGCCAACCGAACCCTTAGTTGCATGTTATGAATTGTGTCCAGTCGGCTTAACTTTCCAGCACTATAATCATCCAACCACTTGATGCCTCACACTGATCCTGCTGCTTTGGGCAATATATTTCCCCTTCTATATACCTAAAACCTGTCCTGATCTTGCTGGAGAAACCAAATTACTAGCTTTTGCATTGTGGTCTGTGAAATTGCCTCAGGTGGCTGAACGCGCCCTTTTCTTGTGGAACAACGACCAAATCGTGAACTTGATAGCACACAACCGGCACGTGATCCTGCCTATCATATTTCCAGCATTGGAGAAGAATGCACAGAACCATTGGAACCAAGGAGTGCTTAACTTAACTCTCAACATCAGGAAAATGTTCTCGGAGATGGACGAACAGCTCTTCCTGTCGTGCCTTGCCCAGTTCAAGGACGAAGAAGAACAGCTGAGTGTTTTAGCTGAGAAGAGGAAGGAAGCGTGGCAACGCCTGGAGAATGCAGCTAGCCTGAAGCCTATAACTGGAAACACTGCTGTTCTAGTAACCCCTCTGGCAACCAAGATCACATGTTGACAGTAGTAGGCATCAGTGGGTGGCATCCTAATTGCTGTTGTAGGATATATTCTTTCTTTTGTTTTGCTGGTGGTTTCCTTTTTTTCTTGTTGGTGCTATGACAGCCCGTTGTTGTATAACTAAGTAGCTCCTGATCTTCTGTATCTTAAGCTTGTTCTCCACCATTTGTAGCAATGCCCTGCTGTATGGGATTCTGTTTAGCGTTCCCTTTTGTAACCTTATGAGAAGGGTAAAGAAATGGGCCATGCAGTAAACCATTGGCTTATTTTTCTTCCTCGTGTTGTCAATAGAGAGTCCCACTGACCTTTTGAACAATCTTCTTCCCATTCACAATGAAGGGAAAGAGTGCCCCAATTGTGGATTCCTGTGCTTATTCAAACCTAATTGGAACCCTATTTTAGAAAGGGTCGTCATTGACAGTGGCAAATTTTCTTACATTCATCATTCCAAACGATGTTACCTTTGAGTCAACGATCACATCATGGATTGTGTTAGTGGTAGTGTCTAAGGTATCCATGCAATAATGCTTTTACATTCCAATAATAAGGCTGATGTTATGTTTGTGTGAAGAACGTGCTAATCAATAACTGGAGAAAGTCCTGGGCATCACTTGTCCAATGTGAGTACATAAGGAAAACGGCTATTAATGAATAAAAAGTGCTAGTTTGTTATAGATTGTGAAGCGTTGCTCCGCAAACCGCAATAGGGAAGGCTATTCATGCATTTCCCTTGATCCCAGTAGCAGTTTGCAACTGATTACAACGAACATCAGAGTTTGGCTCAACAAATTCACGAGGTTTCAAGATACAAAGTACTAAAGGCCTGAGAAATTAGCTCAGGTACTCTCCTCTTTTACAGTATCCCCACCTTCTCCTTCACCTCAAAAGACCTGAAACTTTATTCCTCCCTGTGCCCCCCCTCAATATAGAAGTTCCCTCAAAAAATTGTGGTAGATTTCATGAGACCATCTTTCCTTGGTCTGGAAGTACCACAACTAACTTAGATTAGATGTTACCCTTTTAACAACCAAGACAGTAACTTGAGTGAAATTAAGTTAAAATGAAAGAACATCACCAACTTTAGTTGGAATGTGACAAGTTACTGCAGCTGAAAATCAGGATCATCTTCAGAGAAGTCAAGGATGTAGAAACCTAGATGGTCATCTGTCCATCATTCGAACAGTGATTGAACTCGTTCTGGAGATGACAAATTTGACACGCTCTTGAACTGCAAAGAATGAGGAACAAACTTAGGAAGACAGCCATTTATAATGTATATGGGGTTGGCCTAAATGAGCTGTTTTCTAACATATAATTACCTTCTGATGTTTGTACTTTTCGCGTATGGCATTGAGGGGACAACCACTAATGTTGAGCTGTAGATCTTCCAGTGCGAGTACCGTACTTCTTAGCTCTTGTGCACTGTAATTAGTGTAATGCTCTAGAGTTTGATTCTGTCACACATAGTAAAGGCAGCCTCTTTGATTCAGTGAAAGTTTGATTAACAAGAAACAGACGGATAAAAGGGAAGTGCAACATTTACCAGATAAGAGAGAGAGAGAGAGAGAGAGAGAGGGGGGGGGGGGGGGGCATACCCAGGGGTGAACTGATTGATTGAGTGTCCATCTGGCCAGAAACACAGCAGATGCAGCAACTAAAGAAGGAAGGAACTTTATGAAGTTATATTCAACAAGAGTCAACTCTGCCAAGTAATTTGCCAAGTACTCCAGTTCGAGACAAGGATCCTGTTACAGAATTAATACAATCATCACCAGTTAGTTTTTGTGATGTCTGGTTCATTAGTTCCATAGTTATCTAATTGCAGATGCACTACTCATTTTTTTATGATCTCGGATACCTTGTAAGAGGTCTGTGCTGCTTGAATGAATCTCCTGAAAAAACAAAAAGTTGAGGAAAAAAGATCATGTCATTGACTTTTCTGGTAGAGTTGGAAGGGGATGTGGTTCAATGCTATACCTTAGAAATGTCTTCGTGGTGGGAACTGACAAATTAAAGTGCATGATATTCACAACTTGGCTCTCCATTTTCAATACCTGCACACACATTAACAGCTTCAGCATTCTTCTGTGTTGCAGGGACCAATGCAGTTCAAACGTGATACATAATAAGGTCAGAATGTCAAATAATTGAAAGAAGAAAAAGGACTAAATCTGCATCCTTTACGCACCTGTTCTCTTGTGTAAGTATTGTCAGTGATGAAGCAGAATTCTTCTACCCGTGGAGCAAAGATTTCTTCATACTTTCTGAAACCATAGATAGGAGGACAGACCACATATAAGAATTATTTAGTAAAGCAGGATGATCCAATCAAGCTAAAACTATATAGCAAACTTTCATAAGATTTTACAGAAAATGGAACTTACGACGCAATTAGCATGCATGTAACACCAAGTAATTGGAGTCTTTGTTTCTCGATAAAAGTTTGAGAGAGATATCGGTCAATGAGATTAACAGTAAGGTAAAGGGTATCTGGAACAAGCTTATATTCTTCAGCAACCTGAAGATAGAAGAGGAAACTATCGATCACACTCCCCCATTAACTGATGATCAACATGGTTTTACACAAATAAAGCAAGAAAATATTGTTATTTTTAATCATGGAAGTTGCCCGTCAACATGAATAGAGCTCTTGTTTTGCTTTGCCAAGAGCAAAAACACCTCTAGAAGTGAAAGGTGAAACCATATTTGCATTACCTAGCATAAAATAATAGATTATGGCTGAGGTTAAGTATACAGACCTCTACCAGCCAGTCGATTAGTATTCCTCTCATGTTTGCAGTGACATCGCTCTGCAAGGTCTCCATGTAATTAGCTGATGTCCTCTGGTCAAGCTGACGAATGAAAAATGAAAAGGTTAATGTCATATAATACAGTAATGATCACTAAAAAGTGCATCTCACTGAAGCAAATTATGTACAAGAGTGGAAGTATTCAAAAGACATCGCTGGTAGGCTGATATTTCAGGGACATAATAGGTGTAGGAGTGCAATATTGACAAACCTACCTCTGTAACAAGCATATGTTTATAGATATCAGAGGCATATTGACTGCAGTCTTGGGGATCTTTTGAGTCGGAATCAATATCCACTATGCCTAGACTAGTGGAGGCCTCTTGTTTCTGATAGCTCATACTCACTCCTGCACAAATACAATTCAAAGGATCATCAGCGAGAGGGCACCAATTCCTAACTTTCTATCCATAATTTCTGCTGATACGAACCACACTCAAAACACTATGCACATTTGTATATATATCATAGAAGAGGAGAAAACTTGTGTAACGAAAAACAGACAGGACTCCTGACCTTTATTTTCACGCTCAGCAGGTCTGGTGGAAGGAAATGCTGGGAGGGCAACATTTGCTGCATTGTTCATTACTTGAACAGGAACCCTGCATGGTTGTTTTACATCCAATATTTCCCTCGGAGCAATCCCTTGAACTTCTTCCTTCCTGACCTTTGAGGGTTCCTTCACCACTTTTGTTTTCATATTCTCTTGTTCAACCTTTGGAGCTCCCACAGGAAAGCCAGTAGCCACCTTGGAATTTTTCTTTGACGGACATCTTCTAGTCTGCCTGCTAGCCTATCAAACAGAATAAAGTCACCATTGCGTCACTCTGATAAACTCTGCAACAAGCACCAAGATAACTAGGGAACTTCCTTACCTGAGTTCTAGATGTATTGGTGCTGTTAGCATCTGAATGCTCAGTTAAGATGTTGGTCACTTCTTGAAGCGCGGCCCTCTTCTTACACTGAACACCACCCCTCATTTTGTTCTCTTCTGAAGCTGGTCTCTTTGTGCTTACTTTGGGGACACGCTTCAGCTCCTGTTTGAAGGAAGGTTTCGAGGCCGGGAATGCACCTGCTGAAGCCCCAGAAGCTCTGGCTCGTGCTCGGGTAATCCGGACAGTGGGCTCTTCAACTTTGGCATCATTTCCATTTTCCTTGTTCATGTTTCTTTTCCTTGAGAAGAAGAGCTGAAGCACGAAACTTCAAATTGACACACTGCTCATTGTACCTGCAATGCCAATTGCAATTCAGTCATCACTACAACATCCACGTTGGCCAAAACCTTATATAAGTCCACCTTCTACAAACACAAGCAAATAAGGTGTCTTCTATAAACACTAAATCTAGGTTCATATACATGCTCAGTGTCATTTCTCGACCTACGTTAACGCAACCAATCGATCGATAGATCCATTGCAATCGGAGCTTAGATGTTCACTTCTATTACCACATTCATTGCAATCTAAGCAAATACCCCACGTTAGATAACGAAATTCATCCTTTTTATGTAAAAAATACTTATCAAAACAATTTGAGCAAAATAACCAGCCACCGATTTTGAACATGATGGCTAAGTAACTTCAAAAATCCATAGGACTTCAAATATTTTAACTTCATTTCAAGTAGTGAAAATGGGTCCCTTTTGCAGTCGCATCCTTGCTCCTGGTGTTGAGCTCAACGCTCTCATTGGTATGCTTGAAGTCATTTTACAAGCAAAGGACAGTTGCTGCAAGAACCGTGAAACAAACCACCTGTAGCACTTTGTCCCAACAAAACGGTGTAATCTTTACATATTTTGCTTAGAGGGAAAACGAGATCTGTGGCCTCAGGGTAGATGTAGAAACAAGCACTACAACCCTCCGGTAGAGCGTAAAGAGATCTCTAGAAAACAACAAAAACGAAACGCAATTTTCTCTTTGAGGCATTTTGTCAGTAAGAAAGCAGGCACATTTCTCAGATTTAAAAACCCATAATTTTCCCTTTCAAAATGAATCAAAATTCCAAACTTTGACGCAGGATCTGCTCATCCACGAACCCAAATGGAGAAACAACAGACAATTCCTCCCAAAAATGAAACAAAATCCCAAGCTGAAAACTGCGTCAAAAGTCCAGAAACACGCCGAAGAAGAAACACTCTGCAAATCGGGGAGCTCGTCAGAGGGATTAAAATTCCCTCGACCACGAAAACCAGCTCCAAAGAATCCGAAATGCAGAATCGATATCCAAAATGCAGTAGGTCGAAAACCCAACGCCTCCAAAATTTTCAAAATGCGCCACTATCAAGATCAAGAAACTCAACAATGTCAAATGGGGGGACCCAAGAAAACCAGCAAGAAAGACCACGGCGGCGGGGGAAAATCGCCTCCGCCGCAGATCTACCTCGTGGAAGGGGAGTCAAAATTCCGCCGTCCCCTCTTAACGAAATCCACGTGACAGTTATCAATGGTCGATTCAATCAATAAGAAGTACCCAAATCAAACGCCATTAAACACACATTCCCCGGAAGAGCAAACAGAGAAATGAAGCGAAAGGGAGAAGAAGTGGAGCTTACTGGGAGCTCCTCCCTCCGCCGGTAATGTTCAGAAATTGTCTCTGCAGAGCTCCGAGGAGGGGAAATGACGAGAAGAGAGAAGAAAAGGGGAATGGAGGGATAGTGGCGGATTATATTACGAAGAAGGTAAAGGAAGGGTGGAGAAGAAGAAAAGTGAAGAGAGCGTCTCACTCTCAGCTGCGGAGTGTGTGGGAGAGTGAGACTGTTTGTGAGAGAGCGGGATGGTACCTCCGTTTGAAATCTTCCCTAAAAGCGGAAATGAAAAACTAAATGAAAAAAAAGGGGCCAAAATAGAGAGATGAAAATTTAAACAGTACTAGTAGTAGTGTGTTTCCATTTTCCAGAAACAGCTTTCGCCCAAATAATGTCCTTTTCTGCACAACGACTTGCATTTTGGTCCACCTACACTTTCAGGGGTCAATTTGAATTTTTTTTTTCAATTCTGTATTTCTGTTGCAAATATTTTATTTAAATTATGGTTTTGGAAAATGATGGTTTAAATTAAAACATGTATTATAAAAAGTCCTGAATTTGTGATGAATTTGGATTAGAGAAACTATGTCTCAGATTTGTTCATGGATTTTGTTGTTATGCATTTATAGGGTTTAAATGTAAATTAATGTATCACCCTTAATTTAAAAGCATTTTTAAAATGAGTGGTAAATGGTCTTCGATTTAGGACCATGTTTTAAATCTCATATGAAATTTACAAGTTCGTGAGACTTATAAAAAAATGAAAGCAAATAATGAATTCCCTCAGCCTCGTGATGGATTGGATTCGATACCCAAATCAACTAAGGAGACTATCCATGTATGCCTATCCCGTTACTTCAAATGCAAGTATTTCGGAAAGTTGACATACTGAAAACCTATACTTCAAATATTTCAAGTTTCATTTTTGAAACTTAATTCGGTTAAACTGTATTTCCTACCATAAAAGAATTCGAATGACGGGTTTCATCTTTATATTTTATTCTATAAATATTATTGTTGCAGTTTTTTAGGTGTCACGAAAATCTTGTTTTCTTTACCAGATTTACGAGAATTCGATTGCTCGTCTTGCAGTTAAAGCTCTGAACTTGTTTTCTCTTCTTTTTGTCAGGCCGGTTATCATGGTAATAGTGCTTCATGAAATCTACGTTCACGTCACCGCGAAATTAAAATTTTGTATTACATTTGAATTCAAGATTAGCATGTTTATACTCTCCTAACTTGGTGCCCTGTATGGTAATTAATTGTGATCGAATATATGGCATCTAGATCTACCTACTATATGCATAGAAATTTGGGGAGAGGGATCCTGCAAAGTTAAAGGGGAAAAATAAAAACAAATACTATGGTACTTTTTTCACCCTTTCAAAAAGAAAGAGTACTTGGTGGTCCATGAGGTAAAAAGGTGGTGACCAATTGCAATAACTTCGAAATTGAGTGGGCAAAAGGAGAACTTTCCCCTCCAATTGCCAGTCTGTACTCTGTAGGCAGATTAGCATTGGTAGCTTTTTAAAGAGGGAGGAATGAGTAAGGCACTTGGCATCGCCACGTGGTGGCGTTTGCCGGATTCTCAAGCTTTTTAGCCTTTACTCCCCAACTCACTGAGTCAACAGTCCTCCACAGCTTCCGATTTAAATTTTATTATTATTATATTATTGTTGAGGAAGAGAATTAAAAAGGTTTTTATTTGATTTATTTGTGTTTTTTATTTGATAAAAAATAAAAATAAGTTAATAAAATAAGACCTTTGGAACATGATAATTTATTGACTTGGCCTCTCTCTCTCTCTCTCTCTCTCTCTCTCTCTCTCTCTCTCTCTCTCTCTCTCTCTCTCTCTCTCTCTCTCTCTCTCTCTCTCTCTCTCTCTCTCTCTCTCCTTTGAGCATAATAAGCTAAAAGGGCCGGCTATTAGGCTACTAGCATAATCTAGATCTTTGAGGTTAGCTCTCATTTGAATCTTTTCAACTCCAAAAGTTTCAAATCTCTTTGAATTTTTTCTGGGCATGACACGATACAAAAGTATACTATGATTAATGATATGGTTCCGTCGGTATTGAAGCACGATCAAAATTATAGTATTAATTTGAGAATATGGTTGTTGATATTATCATAAATGTCCGCTATTCAATTTGTAGTATTATTTTAAAATAGAATGGAACATATACAATTTCTATAGTGCAAATATTTCGAACTGATTCTCTATACAATTTAGGCTTCATTAGCTATTTTTTTTTTTTTTTTTTTTTTGATGGTTGCTTCATTAGCTATTTTATTTTAGCATGTGAGTCATTCTTATTCCCTTTGTTTTTAAAGCTCTACAAAAAACACCATAAATGCCCTGATTATATGGAAACTTCCCACCAAATGAACCAGATTTGTTCATAAATATTGGAGAACGGACTTCAGAGATACATGGAGAAGAAAAATTCTAATTAATCTCGTTACCTTTTTGAACGTGCCGATTTATATTAATAAATTTGCATTATACCTTAAATGGGGAAAATAATTCATCTGAACAAATTGAAGGAAATGCAATTTAGGAGCGTAAAAATAAAATGGAAATGAAATTTAGGGCAGTCAAAGAAAATCCAAGAAAAATCTGCCGGTAAATACTGGCTGGTTCTACTTGGAAACTTTCAGATTTCAATGGAAAATCAGTTTGATCGGATTTAGGAACAATGTGAAATTAAAGGAAAGTACATTAATGATTTTATAATGATGAGTGGTTTGCAAAAATATTTCAATGGGTAGCATTCAGGAAATCATAATTTCATCACGCGTTATTTTCATCGCAATAGAGTAACACGAAAGAGATGTCAAATGGACTAAAAATGTTTTTCGGGTTTATGTAGGTTACAACAACTCATATCATAGAAGAAGTTGCATGCATATGCAATTCGGATTCAACTTTGGAGTGATTCTTCAATTATGCTCGCAATATTTGCATCTCTGTCTGATCTATAATTCATCATCTGCCAGCTCAATTTGCTTTTGACATTTGTGTCTTCTCGTCCCCAAGTGTTAACGAATTCTTCCCGGCCAACTTCAATACCTCCAGTAGTTCATGTGTTTAGAGTTCTGTCGGAACTGAATAGTTTTAGAAAACAAATTTGATATGTACTAACCATTAAGTTGATGTTGTTCAATATATATATAGCTACATAATAAATTTAGTTATTTGTTCGACATTTTGAATTTCTCGTGTTTTCAATACATCCGAAGCATACTCGGACTTGAGGAAGTCGATGTTGGTGTCGGCCAACTCAAGGCAGTCCTCCGGGGCCCCGATCTGGTCCTTGGCACGACGGGTGGTGAGGAAGTTGCGGAGGAGCTTGGAGAGGCTGGCGACTTGCTTGGTGCATTACTTGACCGGGAATTTGCAGAGGGGGTGGGGGAGGGGGAAGGGGAGGAATGTTAAATAGTGGTATAGGATCCAACATAACCTTCTCCCAATAACTCGAGTTATTGGAACCAACTAGTTTATGATATGATATCGGAGCTGGTTTGACCAAGTGGTCGTGTGTTCGAATCTCCACGACCTCCAATGTTAACAGTTGATTAAAGCACAATTTATGGTGGGTCTGTGCAAACTTCAAGCCTATGAGTTGACTTTCTTTTGAGGAGGCGTGTTAAATAGTGGTATAGGATCCAACATAACTTTCTTCCAACAACTTGAGTTTTTGGGACCAACTGGTTTATGACAAGGAAGAGGATCCGAATTTCGAATGCCAGGGGGAGGATGGAGTGGCAAGGCTTTGGGTAGGGCGTGGATGTGCATGCAGCGGTGTCGGTGGCCTGTGGCGGCGATGGGGGTTGAGAGGAGACAGAGGAGATGAGGAGGAGGGAGAAGAAGGATACGAGTACTAGCGGTGGAAAATAATAATTAAAGGAATTATAATTTTCTTTTTTTAATTTATAATAATTAGCTTGAAAATAAAAATAATAATTAAATTTATTATTTTATTAATTGTTACGTCACTCATTATACGGTGAACTATAAGAGTTGACCGCCACATCAGCAAAAGTTAACGAAGGTTAACGGGTAGTGACCAAACTTGAACTGTTAACCTAATTTAAGTGACTACGAATGAAATAAATTAGCTTTGATGACAAACGTAAACTTATTAAGTAATTCTAGTGACCATACTTGTAATTTATCCTTAATAATAATTATATAAAAAACAGGATAGTATGAGGTCCACGTCGTCCCACTACATTTTAAAAGTAGTTGGGCCCATGGATTACAAAGTACATGTAATGACAACTTGGGTTAGCGGGCCCATTGGCCTTCTGGATTCTTTTTTTGTTTTTTGTTTTGGCAAAATACACTTGTATAGCCAAAACTTTCGCGTTTGTGCCAATAATAGCCAAATTTGGAGAAATACCAGAAATAGCCACTTCCGTCCAATTCTTTAACGGTGTCATCTAACAAGCTGACTGGACTAACAACAACCGTTGACGTGGCATTTTTTATTTAAAAATAATGTCAGGTGGAAAATTATTAACGTTTTATTCTTTTACTTTAATTAAATTAATTAAAAAATTATAAAAAGTAAAAACAATAATATCAGCCTCACCGGTCGCCTGTTCACCTTCCCTTCCAATCTTCAAAATCGTCGTCGTTCTCCTGCTTTTCTATTCTCCATCAAGAACAACAAAAGACTAATCTTTTTTCTTCCCAGAAGGCCAGAATGATAACAACCCTAAAAGACAAACAAAAATCTTTCTCCTCTCCTCTCTATCGTCTTCTTTCTCTCTTCAGAAACGCCCAGATCCGAATGAAATCCCTGCCCCATTCCCGATATCCCTCGATCTGCCTCCTCACGACGGAGTTGACGACGATGGTGGTGATGGCGAGCCACTGGCCTCGCCACCTACGATAGAGCAGCAGCAAGTGGAGATGCTTGGACGACGAGAGAAGCTCCTATGATTCCCAATCCCAAAGCCGAGCCCGTTTGCCAAATCCCCAATCTCGGAATCCACTTCTCCTTGGCAGCGATTTGTATTGTGGGGTTCCCCTTTTGAGTGAAACTGGGTTATTCTGGGTTTTGCAGTGCATTCCCGATCTCCTTCTTCCCCACTTCGTTGTCACCACCATAGGTTTGTTCCGCCTGTTTGGACAGTTTGGTCCTTATGAGGAGAGTTCCCAGTAGAGAAATAATGGTTGTGAGTGTAGAGTGCCAGGTCCGATTCAATTGGGGGAGATTCTAGGTTTGGAGAAGTCGCCATATCCCAATCGAACGTTTCGTCTTCCAAACAACCATCGCCATCGCCATCCAATGAAGCAATCTCCTCTTGGAGAAGACGAAGTCTCAGAACGAGAGGCTTTGAATTTCCCTTTGAATTTCGTCGACCTAGTTGCGAAAATCGTCCTGTCCAGCAAGCTCTCCAGCGGGGCGTCGAGTGGGTTCCCGACGAAGTAGAGAATCGGTTTCACCCAACTCATCTCCACGCAGTTCTCCCTTTTCAAACCCAGATCTAGGAATTTCGCATCCATCATTGGCATCGAACCCTCTATCCCTCCGAGGTAGAGTGAATTGAAGGAAGCTTGGATCGTCGTGGCGTTCGCTTGAACGGGATTGACCACTCTGCTCAGAACGACCATGAAGAACACATTGTTGGAAAGCTTATCGATTACGTACTGCCATCGATGGACAATCTCCCTCGCATTCTGTTCGAGAGTCCTCATAACAGTGCACGCCGTCACACTCGCCGTGATGGGTGCTAATTTGATTTTCCAGGCGATGACGATCTTTGTTGTAGCATAGCAGATGACAGGTGGTGGGAGGGGGAGAGAGGAAGAATAAATTAATGTATTTTTTTTTATAAAGTAAAATATGAAGTGCACTTACGTGGCAATTTTGGCTGATTTATGAGCTGACGTGTATGCTTAGTGGACGCCTAATCAGCGAACCGTCAAAAAAGTTAACGGTGTTAGTAACACCATTAAAGTATCTAACGGAAATGGCTATATTTGTCCTCAACAACTTTCAAAGCTGGCTATAAGTGGTATTTCTCCAAATTTGGCTATTATTGACACAAACGTAAAAGTTTTGGCTATACAAATGTATTTTGCCTTTTGTTTTTTAACATGCCTTCTGGATTCTTAAGTAGAGGCACCAGTGAGCCCGAGTGAGGAGCCTAGAATGGCCGGAATCAAGAATCTCATTAGAAAGAAGACAATACGAGAAATGTGTAAAAAGGAAGAAAGAAAAGTGAAGAAACAAACGGATAGAAATAAAAGAAAAATTATTAAGATAATGACAATTAGTGGCAAATCATTGACGCCATTTATATATTGAAAAGGGACATTAATTTTTGTGACATCCATGAGCATCCCATCGAGGGATTATCGGTCTAGTACAAGCAAACTATTGGTCTAGTAGTAAAACGATAACATGGTGTCCAAACTCCAAAGTATACGTACAAATTATGAAGTTCGTAACTTGTTGATTTTTTTTTCTTTATAAGTAGTGTATATGTATTTTGAGTAGAGAAAAATCATTCACATAATACCCGTTATCCTATTTGTATGTGATTTGAAAGCAAAAGGAGTTGTTATTGAAAGAACAAAAATTACAAACTAAGACGTTAGCTATTTCATATTTATTAAAACATGTATATGTCAAAATACGGTCAGACTGGCGTACGTCAGGCGTTAGTATACGTCAGACACTACTAGTGAGATATCTCTATCTAGACCATGAATTAAATCGAGTTTGGGGTATGATACTATACCCTAACCTCTAATGGATAAACCCCAGACCCCGATTTTCTAAACCCTAACCCGAAGTTTGATTTAATGAAAAACAAAAAGTGACTGTTGAGAACGGTTGGAGCTCATCTAAGTACATCTAACGGTTAAATCACCTACTGTATACTATACACCTGACGTACACCACTCATTACCCTCAAAATACATCATTTTTCATACCCAATGTGTCTAAACATTGCTTTTGGGAGCAGCCTAAATCCTAATCATTGAACCAATTATCCTGAGGAAAGGAAGGAAGAAATGGCTTGGAAATTCCCCCCTTTTTAGCCTTTACTCTTTGGACTTTGGATATATTTTCTTCTCAATGGGTTTGGCCTGAGTTTGGAAGCAAGCATCTTCTCTAGGATAGATTTTGTGCAAAGAAAGTTAGCAAAAAGAACACAAAATTCAAATTCTTTGGTTCCATGATAGAGAGATTCCAAAAAGAGCAGCATTTAAAAAATTGACGGGGGAGACCAAACCAGTTGACAACGAATTTCCCCCCATGTGGTGTGGGGTGTGCAATGCAATGCAACATAACTTAATAGAAAAATTGTTGGTTTCTTACGTACGTGATGGGTACGTAATGCATCTATTCAAATGACCATGCCATTGCCATGCTAGTTTGAATTTGTAAGTGTAATATAAAAAGAGAAAACATGCAGGGGTGATTTGGGTTCAAATCTGCTCATTAATTTAGGATGTGTTTGGATATGTGTATTTCAAATGTAAGTTATTTGAAATACAAATATTTAAAGAGGCGTGCGATAATTAAAGATTCATTTAGTTGTAGGAAACACTACTTTTTGGTAGTGTCCGAACCCTTGTGGCTATGGAATGGGGGGTGGATTCACCCTTTTGGATCATGTCTTCACTACTTGGTGGATATTATGGGGCTTTGGTGTTTGATTTGCCCTGAAATGTGCCTATTTCATTGCAAAACTTCGTTTTATTTAATACAACTTCGATTCATATGGTTGTTGGCTTCTCAAACCATCATTTCAACTATTTAAACGAAATCGAAATAACCAAACCACCTAAACTAACTGCAAACACTTCCATGGTTGATCAAATTTGGCCGTCATAAGTTAGTCAGGCTTCAGTTTTAGAGCTTATATGACTAGAAACACATTCTATTAGGAAAATCGACTCACAATATTGAACATTCAAAGTTGAGAAAATGAATCAACTTACAAGAAATAATCATCGGATAGCTTATAGTTCGCGACTGACTCGCCATTTATTTATATCTTGGTGTCTATGGAAACAAACATGCACTACACTGCAGATAACGATAAGATAGGGGAGGGCCACATGCTCAAGTTTGAAATCTTAGGGCTGCTCTGCTCTGCTGTGTTATTTGTTATTTCTTCTGCGAGGGGTTTTGGGGTTAAGAGTTTTAGGACACCGACCGATCAACAATTAGTCAAATTAGTGTTCAGAAGAGAAGAGGGACACTTTGACCACTGACACCGTCAGGTTATGGGATTGGGGGGCGCCTATATTTGAACTTAAATACACACGCGCTCTCTCCATCTCTTCTTTCTTTCTTCCCCACCTCCGTTGGAAGTTGGAAAATATTATAGGGCGTTTTGGAGTTTGCGATATGGCTACCCGAGAATCTGTGTTTGATGGGCTTAGTCTAGTTTCCACCCCTCTTCGCTACCCGAGCCCAATAGAGATTTGGCTATCAGAATACCTAATGGCCACCAGGCCCAAATCTAAACTATCTTCTGCTCAACTGTCTCCAAGGTGATAAAATGCAGAACATACCCGTTCTTGACCAAGAGAAAGGCTGTATTAATGGTTTGACCCTATCTTGCTGCACTGTACAGGGAAATTAACTGAATCAAGAGGACGTCTCAATTTGTTCCAATCCTTTCAAGTTGGTAATTCAAGGGTATGATTGGGTATTTGGGTTCCTCCTCTCCTTTGACTTCTATCATGTTTTCGATCCCATTCAGTTATTCAAGGTGGATTAATACATGGAATTTCCAGTTCAACTCATTCAGGGAGTCAGTTTATACGCAGAGGACAAGCCACTCGAGTTTACTTATGAATACAGAAAGAGATAACTTTCTTCATCCCCCTCCAAAAGCCAAGCCATACTTGATTCTACTACAACCTGTAACGTCTTCTTACAGGAGGAGCTCAGTTGAAAGGGTTTGAGCAGTAACCGTCTCCAGCCAAACTTACCAAGTCTCAGTAATTCGATCGCAATCTCCATCCTTGTGCTACCACCATCCCGATCGGAGTTCTCATTCTGGCATTTCGTCGAACACCAGAGCTTCCAACTTTTCAAACAACGAAAACCCGTTATTTTGGTTCATCAAATTAAACAGTCACTTAGCCATTTTCAGCACAAACAAGGATCTTCCCAATCTCAACAAGTAAATTACAAACAAAGAGCCGGCCGCCCGGGGGGAAGGGGAGGCAAATGTTCCGGCGGCCGGCGATTGATTCGATTAAAATGTGGGGGCAAAAGACGGCCGCTCAAACTGCAATGGACTAGGGCAGCAGAGCGGCAGTGGAAGCCTCCGTCTTTACTGTGAGCTCATCACACTAACGTGCGCCACAATTGAAACCTTTTCTCGTGGAATACCACGCCACCCCTGACTCAAGAGGTAAAGCGCTCGGCCTTGAGCTCTGCTTGCTTCTCTTCCTCCCCTTGCCTCTGGTTTTATACTGTTGATCCACTAGGGTTTGACTGTTTCACATTGACCCTAAACGACGTCATTTTTCGACTACCCTTTTCCCCCAATCCACTTTGAAGGCTGCCGGTGAAACGACCGGCGGAAAGAGAGTGCATTTCTCGACTCTCGTCGAAGTTTTTATCTTGAAAATACTGGAATGGGAAGAGTTCGTTTCAATCTCCACGCTGTGAAGGTACTTATCGGCCGTCGACAGGTCCACGGATCGCCGCTTTCCGGTTCAGATGTCAAGTTGCGGCGGCCGCAACCTGCTTTACCAAAGTCATTACCGATTCCCGACCTTCATAATCCGTATTTGAATCAAAGCCCTAATCCTCCTGAAGTTAAGTACTCGCAGCAGGAGTTCGCGACCCTCTGTTGTCTTCTGAGAGATTCCAATCTCTCTCCCGGTTCTTCCCTCCAGAATGCTTTGGACCAAACGGGAATCGAGCCGCAGCAGCCTGGTCTGTTAGAGGCGGTCTTTGAGAAATTCGATTCGTCTCCGAAATTGCTCTACTCAGTGTTTCAATGGGCCGAGACGAGACCAGGGTTTCGGTGCTCGGAGGTGCTGCTCAACTCGATGGTCAACGCACTTGGGAAAGCGAAGGAATTCGACTCTGCATGGTCTCTGGTTCTAGATAGGATTGATGGAGATAAAGATCTTCAGTTGGTTTCCAGTGATACATTTGCCATTCTCATCAGAAGGTTTGCTCGTGCAGGTAGGTGTTACTTTAGACTATTCAGTTTTTTGCTTACAAGTTCTGCAGTTGCTTTTAGTATGCCCGAATTGCAATCCAAAGTTCAAAACTTTAGTGCCTCAATCTTTGTCTCATTGATTGTTAGTATGGACACTGATCAAGTTTGAAGGAGAGTTGGTGCCTTGAAAATGCAGGATTTGGGGGCTTCCATTGTTTGTAAGCTGTGCTTTATATTGGTATATATATATGATCATGAAGCAGTAACTGGCATACCTCCTTTGCTGCAGGATTGCCTGAAGCCGCAATCAGGACATATGAGTATGCAAGAAATCTGGACTTGGTTGAGAAGCCAGATGCTGGAATGCGCTTGCTTGAGGTTTTGTTAGATTCTCTTTGTAAGGAAGGGCATGTTCGGGTGGCTGCAGAGTATTTCCAGCGTAAAAAGAAGATGGAACCTTGCTGGGTTCCCGCAATTCGTGTATATACTATACTTTTGAACGGGTGGTTTCGGTCAAGGAAGCTCAAACATGCAGAGAGACTTTGGTTT